GCAGGCAGGTGCTAGCAGCAGGGGTATTCAGCGCTGCAGGAGGTGTGGCAACACAGGACACAACAAGCGTACATGCAAGAAAGATACAGTAGAGATAGGCAATTAATTTAAGCTATTGCGCACTATTATATCTTATTGTTGTGTTAAGTTATTCACGTTCAAAGATATATTGTTGCATTTAGTGATTCGCTCGGTGGGGTGATTCGCTCGGTGGTGGACCACGTTAATCTAGTTGTATATAAGTATTTTAGCTTAGCGCCTATACGCCTTCTTTAAAGGGGTAAAACAACCTACATTAAGTAGCTATAGGAGGTGTAATAAGTAGGGAGGCATGTATATAGTAATAATCTTGTTATCCTTGCAGTGTTACTAGAATTTAAGTAAGTTGTGGCTCTTATAGCTATTAATAACTAGCAGTTAGTAGGTACTAATAGTACGCTCCTTTGTATACGCGTTAACGTGCTTTAACTACTTAAGACTAAGCTTATTAGTAGTCTAGCTGTTACTAGAGACTCTAATAACCTAATCCTAGGGTAGTTCTTCCTCCTTATACTAGCTAGAGAGGTAGTAGCATGCCTTAAAGATAATAAAGGGCAGAATAGCCTATCCTTTTGCATTAATGCCCTGTATAACTATTATCTAGTCCTAGTTGCCTTGCTAGACTGTCTTTAGCCTTCCTTGTCTCTCTAAAGCTGTAACAACTGCTCCTACATCGGGAAAAGTTTTTCGAAATCCGGCCTAGACCGGCCGTTGCTGACAGTCGTGGCATGGTCGTGCAACGGCTGTTCAACAGCCCCAACAGCCCTAATTTGCGCCCAATAGCCCCAATTTCGCGCTAATATTGCTAACAGCTAAAACGCTAAGTGCCTATATTTAACAAACTTAAAATAATGTTAGAACGTTGTTGCATAGCTACCCTTAGTGCTAGCACTAGCATTAAATATTCAAAAATTGCGAAATTTCACGTACAGATAGAGCGAAATTGTAGCTTCAAAATAAGCAAAAAATTATTATTGTAGGCCTACTACAACGCAAGTTATAGAGCGTTGAAGGTTTGTTTGTTAAAGGTTAGTGTTTTGAAGTTGCGACAGCACACCATAGCAGCTGCAGCTGCGCCCGCACACAACGTAGCAGCTGCAACAGCATACAGCATAGCACCTCCTGACCAACACACACACACACACACACACACACACACAGCAGCAGCGCAACAGGAGCTTGCAGAACAGGCAGGCCTAGGCGTAAAATTCTTAGTTTACCTACTATTCTTGAATAATATTCTTATATTTTCTAACATTCAGGCTGCTAGAGCCCTAGCAAAGAATCTTAACTTAGTGTCTTAGCAAGGAACATTAAGCTTAAAACCTTCTACACTTAATAACTATTCTATTACTAGGCCTATAATATTATTTAATAGCTTATTTTAAAGAGGAGACTTAGTAGTATATTAATATAATAAAGGTATAGTTTATTAAGCAGAGCTACTATTATAGCAGGATTAGGAGTTGTTGTGGCTATTGCAGCTGTTAGGACTATTAGAGCTATTAGCTTAAAATTAGCTAGACATTAAATGCACATTAAATAACTATTGTAGGCCTACAAGTCCTACTGTTGCCCATAGTACAATGCCACGATTTCCTGATTTCGACAACGGAAAAACTTTTCCCGATGTACGGAGATCTAGCCTATTATAAAGCTAGTCTTATTAATGTTGTAGGTATTATTATCCTAGATGCCATACTTGGCTTTAATATTAGCTACTAGGCTAAACTAGCCCTGCACAACCCCTAAATCCTTGCAGAGGGCTTGCTTGTAGTTGTACTTGCAATTAAACTTTACTTTAAGCTCTAGTTGACGCTTAACAAACGTACTAGGCTAATTTACGCTAATAGGGCCCAGATTGCGCTCAGCGCGCAGAGAATTAGCTATAGCAGCCACATCTGCCAGCTGGGGGCCAAATCCTCGCGCGTCTAGCTCAAGGACATGTTTAATAATCACCTGCTCCTTGTTGTTGTCCAGCTTTTGCGAGCTGGCTATAGAATCAGCGCGTGAAGGTTGTCCTGCGCGTTGTGTGCTTAGTGTACTCTGAGGCACCTTATAGATAGCTGCAGCGCGTCGCTGGGTGAGATTCATTGGTATGTAGAGGTTACTTTGGTGGGGGCTTGGCAAAAGTGATCAGCTCGCCCGTTGATCAGCTCGCCCGTGGGGTACGTTATAGATTAGTA